ACAAGGATTATTATTTTGGCTGTGGTTTGCAGTGGCATCGTCAGGCGAGCCGTTGCTCATAGTTTGCCTGTCTTATGTAACTAATAAGACAAACATTATGACATTGTGATGCAGTGCAGTTCTATCACTACTGTAAACTCCAACCACAATCATCCATCCGTCCATTTTCCATAGTGTGTAGCCCAATTAATGTCACGGGGGAGATGCAGACTCTCCCAGCTGAGGTGCGATACACCTGAGACTGGTTACCAGTCAATTGCAGGGCACACGTACGGTAGACAAACAACCATTCACGCTCGCATTCACACCGATTTGTGTGGATAATTTAGAGCTGTGATTCTCAAAGTATGGTAGGACTACCATAAGTGGTATATGTGAAAGAATCAGTTATATTTAAGTACCTTCGCATTTGCACATTAACATGCACACGCAGTCTTCAAGAATATATTTTTACTAACATGTAGGTAGAGTTTTACTTTCAGTTTTCAGGGCAATAGATTTTAATTGAACCGATATTTAAATCTTTTTTTTTTTTTTAAGCGCAGTGTGAATGTTCAAACTGTAATATCACACTGGCATTCATATACTTTTCAGCAATAAAATCTTTGCCTCAGTTTTGATGGCTGCTTAGGCCATCTTAGTTTCTAAACTTTTTCCTCTTTGGGTTGCATACAGAAATATTCTAGGATGTACAGTATAGGCCACTTTGAAAATCATCCATCCATCCATTTTCTGATCCGCTTATCCTCACAAGGGTCGTGGGGAGGGGGGGGGGGCGGTTGCTGAAGCCTATCCCAGCTGTCTTCGGGCAGTAGACGGGGGACAAAACCAATTTATTAAACAAGCATAATCTACAGTATTTTGTTTATCAGTATATTATTGAATTACAGCTTTCTGTTAAGGGTGATATGGCAAATAGTTTAGGATTTTTCATTTTTTTCATTTTGGGGTGGTCTGCTCTCTACATATAGTATAACCCCAAACAAGAACAATATGAAAATAGCTGGTTATTCTTCCAGGAGTTTTTACTCGAGGATCATTAATGTGATAGTGTTCACAAATCAGCCCTTGACATACAGCAGAATGAGGAGAAAATCATTTGTAAAGTGACAGCCAAAGCTGTCAGTTTTGTAAATGTTTTTTTTTCACCAAAAAAAGCCTATTGTCAGGTAAAAAAGAAACTTTAAACCTAATGTATCTTTATTCGTTTATAAAGAGAAATGTGTTGACTGTGGTTTATTTGCATCTTTGCAAATCTAAGAAAAGCTCTGTATAGCGACAAATTATTAGTAGTATTACTAGTAGTTGTCATAGTAAGAGGCGTTGCACACATTGGGGAAATAGGTGTTGCAACAACCCCCCACTTTTTCGACACCCACACTTTTCACACTGCCCCCTCTTCCCTGCCATGTTTTTAAAGAGTTGTTGACACAGCAAATGTTTTTTTTTTTTTTTAAATCAGGTGGGCCCACAAATGGTCACCTCCGACTTCGACCTTCTGCACTACTGTATTTCAGTGTCGGTCATGATGATGATACTTCAAGAACTAAGCATTTTTGAGGTGGTACTTGGTGTAAAAAGTCTGAGAACTACTGACTTTGACTCCTCGCTGAACAGAGCATGCATGTTTTTCGAATGTAGGAGAAAGTACTCGGAGACACCCCACACAAGCACAGTGAAAACTTTCAAATTCCACACAAGAAAGTCGTAGCGCAGATTCAAACCCCAAACCTCGCAATTGTGAGTTATACGTACAAACCATTAGCACACCACACTACCTGAATCATAAACCTATGGTTAAATGATTACTTCTGTGAGTGTTAGTCCAAACTTATTGCCCTTGTAAAGATTACATGGTGTATGTATTGTGTGCCTAATCAACTAACTTTACTTGATATATTTATTTGCCTGAATAATAAAACATTTACTATTTGAATAGCTTAAACTACAGACGCGTGACTTTAGGGGGCGTGGTTACAAGAAGCAGGAAGTAGCCGGTTGCGGGTTACACCTGCGTTACAGGTCAGGTACAAGACGAAACAACGCACTGGGTCAACCTGCCACCAGAATCCAACTCGAGTACTGCTTTCAACGTCTCACCAAAACAGTCCACTGATGCCATTTATTGAATTTATAAATGAGGAAGCTAACGTGCAAACAGAGGAGTTACTTCCGCTTATAACCGTCTATGTCACGAACACGCAGTAAGGGCAAGCGCACCTGAGGTGCAAAAGTAACGTGTTTTTTTAAAAATAAATATCAAATATACGCATGCAAGTGCAGCAACAAAAAAACGACGACAACAACAGGTGTCCCAGTCAGGTGTAACGTCCTCACCTTTGTGTAGTACAACATCCACAGCTCGTACAGCTTCTCCTTCGTTGCCATCGTTCCTCCAAGCTCCTGGTTGCTCATTAACTCCCGTTTGCGTTTAATTAAAAACTCCAGGGAGAGACCAACATGGTCTACAACGAGCCCGGAGCTGCTTCAAGTTGTTTCCAACACACGGCAGCAGGACGCGGCGCGCTCCTGCCGTCAACCATTCCTGCCACATTAGCCCTCAATTCATTAATCCGCGTCAGTGCTGTAGGCGGGCGGGTCGCTGTAAAAACTTCTCACGAGTTCTTCTCAAACAGGCGGCGTGGAAGGACGTGGTCACGGTGAGATTAACGTCGAACTAGGAAGAGAAATTGAATGGAAATAATGCGTGGAGAGGAACATCCATGAGAAGCGAGCGCCTCGCACAGTAGCTGCTTCCGAGTGGGGGGGAAGAGAGAGAGAGAGAGAGAGAGAGAGAGAGAGAGAGAGAGAGAGAGAGAGAGAGAGAGAGAGAGAGAGAGAGGTTGATCCCACGGAAGCTCAAGGAAACGATCCTGTTGTGCAGTCGCTCACAGGTACTTCATTAATTCCCAGTTCCCCACACAGCTGCTGTTGTGGGGAACTAGGAAGTCATGAAGTACAAATACTTCGTAACTGTACGGAAGTATAGTTTTCAGGTAATCCGATCGCGTTTACATGGCCCAATATTTATAGCTTCGAAAATGGGCAAGCCAGGGCTCTTAATAGGGGTTTTAAAAACCTGAATAAGTGGTTTTTGCGCGCTTGACATGGCCTTTAAAATAACGAATACAGTACTGCCAATATTATTATTCCTATTATTGACTGCATGTAAATGTAATCAGCGGAGTTTCCCCATTCTGTTTCCGTTAATCTAGCACTCTTTAAGGAAAATTTATGTAGTCGTTTTAAATATACAGCAATTAAACATCAGTAGGAAGTGACATAAACAGCTTGAAGCTTCTTTTTTGAAGAATTGTTCTTTAATGTTATCCTGCAAACGGTTGCATGTTGCTACTTAGTACTGTAATAAAGTATTTTTATTACATTCCCCGCATGTTTGTTCACATTCAGATACGCATGCGCACGCACGCACGCGCACACGTGCACACAAACACACACACTCACACACCCACACACGTATACACACACACGCAAACACACAATAAGATTTTATTAGTCACCTCATACCTATTTACTACACCATGCAAATAGAATGACTCACAGCAGAACTGTGTTAACTGTGTTTGTTCCAGTATAGATTTCAATACAAAACAATGCAGGACAAGTGAGACAGCTTAACCATCTTTATTGTCACTGGTGACCCTCTATATTTTATCATATAAATTAATAATAAACTGTATTTGTTGATGAAGCTTGCAGTTTGCACATTTAATAAAACACAGCACATTGTTGTTACTTAGGTGGCCAATAAATAAGGCAGGATACAGGTGCTACATTGATAAATAATTGAACAGATACCAAGGAAAACAACTACATTTGCAAATAGATTACATTGTTTGCCATCTTTCACTTTAACCCCACCTAAATTTGAGTGATTACACACTATTACCTGAACTACGAACTGGGAAGAGTGAAGACTGGATCAGCTGTATTTCCATGCTGATGGCCTACATTCCTGATGGTGGGAAAGTGCCTCTCTCTGTCCGACATGTGACTCATGTTTACATTATGGTATGCAAAAAGTTGAATCAATTAAAACATCAATAAGTCCATCTGTATTCATGCAGTTCCTTAAGCACCTTCTGTTTACCATAGCTTAAATTTTGTAACATGACTACAAACACACACTCACACACACACACGCACACACACACACACACACACACACACACACACACACACACACACACACACACACAAACCGATTTTAATGATTCCCATGAAATATTGTTCCTTGTCACTGGGTCCCTTGAAGTGCGCTATATGAATCTTGACCATGGTATTATTCTTCTTCTTATTATTACCCATCTATACTGTCGGAAAAAAAGGTGCTAAATACTTACCAATGCTTATCAGGCTTGTCACTTGGAGCAGTACTCTCAAGGGTACACCTATGTACATATTGGGACCCAATTTGTTGTTTGTTGGCAAATAGGCTATCATTTGGTGTCGCCTACCTTAGGGTACATATTTGTCGGCAAATTTGCATCTAAGGGTACATATTTGGCTACCAAGGGTAAATAATTCTACTACCACACCTAATCAGTTGTAAATTGTAATTCCATCATTCGTATCACTTAGTAGCACTTGCACCTGTTCTCCTCCATTGTAGAAGAAACTAAACGAACTACGGGTAACATCAACACATTTGAACGATAATGGTTCCTACAACAATCCAGATTTATTTTTTTTTTTTTACTTGATTGAATTTTTTTTTGAAAATGCAGTTCGATAAAAACACCATGGACTTCTTGCTTGAAACGGAGTGTGAAATCGTTAAACTTTTTTGAAACGACCCATTTACCATTCCTAAAACAAATTATTAATCAAGTGCAATCCGACATGCATACTGTACATAAAAAATACAACAATTGTACATGCAATTATACATATAGTATTTGTGTTGTTAAAATTAATAAAAAAAAACACTCCAACTAGAGCAGGCATATGCAATCGATTTCTCTTTAGTTGATTACACTAACCTAACGTAGGATTTGTAATGGAATCAAGAACTACAGAGAAGCGTGGAGCGGCTAAACATGGAAAAAAATATCGGGTCACTACAGGAACAAGCCCTGAAGCGAAAGGAGAGATTGAAAGCGTTGAGGGATAAACAACTCCACGTAAGTGCAGATACAAGTCGGGAAGACACAAAGTAGAGTTAATGATCAAAAACAGTCAATACTAAGTTAAAATGCATGTGTAGCCATGTTAGCATGTAGCTCGCTGGTGTATGACTGCTAAGCGGTCATAAACTTATTTCTGGACTATTCTGCCGCATTCTACGGACAAGAATAATATTTATAAAACGATACCATGAAACAGGACTGTAAATTAGCGGCAATATTGTATTTTACATTGGTTTTGTCGTTGCTTTGCGACGGAGCGTTTATGACACGTTGACGTCACCGACTCACAAGTAGTCTTCGGAAAGACTTGTGAAAAATCAATAAGGCGACAAAACAGAACTGCACCTTATTTTGACCTCAGTTCACACTTCTCAGTACTTACAGTACTATGCGTGTCCCTATTTGTACCAGAGACCATGTTAGTGTGAATGGTTGTTTGTCTATATGTCCCCATAGATTGGCTGGCTCTCTCCTAAAGTCATCTGAGACTGGCTCCAGATAACCTGTTTCACCAAAAAGGGCACGTTCTGTAGAAAACTATGTCTTTCCAGGGCCAAACTGTCACCTTCAGAAAAAACATTTACTGTATAGTCAATTTTGGTGAGTACAACCAAATGCCAGTTCTTTTTAACAAAAAAACGATAAGAAAAGTTTAATACTTAGCCTTGTATTCACACTGGAACTGTAAAAATGGGCGCATCTTTATTTCCGTGCCGGTGCAAGCCTCGTTTTGCCTTTTTGAGAGTTTTGCAGACCACTCTGCGTCATGGTTGGCCTCCTAGCCTACCAAGGGCACCTGGCAATTTGGTGGCTCAAAGAACCACGTCTCACTATTGCCACGGGTAGTGTTATGTCATTTTGGTAAATTTGATGGAGGTGCAGGCAGACTGATTATGGGTTGCACTAATATGTGTGGTGAATGCCCTTGTATTTAATTTAGAAATATGATAACGGGGGACACCCTGAACCGGTTGCCAGCCAATCGCAGGGCACACAGAGACAAACAGCTATCCGCGCTCACACTCACACTTAGGGACAAGTGAGAGTGTTACATCAGCCTGCCATGCATGTTTTTGGAATGTAGGAGCAAACCGGACTACCTGGAAAAAAAACCCACCCAGGCATGGGGAGAACATGCAAACTCCACACAGGATTGAACCCAGGGATCGAACCCACGACCTCTGCACTGTGAGGACGACTAACCACTGGCCCACCGAGCCACCCCTAATTAAATATATTATTATTATTGTTATTATCATCTTTATTGGAGTTTTAAAATCACCCCATTGCATAATTAGACACAAGTGGTCAGGTTGCAAGGCCGTCTCCAAGTGTATGGTAAGTACAGTGGAAATCCGCATAGTTCAACACACTTGGATTCACACAATCCTGGGTTTTTTTTCCTCAAACTTTTAAAATATTAAAAAAAAAAAGTTTGATATTCGGGTAAACACACACACACACACACACACACGTTTTCAGTTTTCCATAAAAGAATGTGTATTGTGCATCAGAACATTTTAAAGAGCATTTTTTTTGGGGGGGGGGGTACATTTTTAAATTTTTTTATTTTTTCCCTCATGCATTTCAATGGCTGGCAGTTATACGCGGATTTACGAGGCGGCCTGGTCCCTATCACACCTATCTATTGGCTGTACTTGGAGTCATACTTCATCTGAACAACTGGTATCTTTCCGTCCCCCGTCCGTTGTGACCAAAGTTTTGTAATAGTGAAGCTCATTCACTGTACACGTGAGATGCCACTAAGGCGGTACAATATGGAAGTAAACTGACTTGCAAGCCAAGTTTGATGTTGACATTCCTTGCTTCCCTTTTGTACTCCCCTTCAAGAATGAGTCAGAGCTATGAATTGTTGTAACATGTGGACAGGAAGCGTCTTCAGGAAAATGCACATTGGGTGGGATTTGATATCCTTTGTTACGGTTTTCTTTTTCCAGGATTTGTGCTACCTTGTTATTTGTGTACTTTGTCTCAACTTGTGATTGGGATCGATTGAAATGCTGCTGCAAACGTGGTTCAGTTTGTTAGCTTTGTTGACTCTTCTTGTAGCGAACCCCCAAATATCTACTTTACGTCTATAAATCTGTATTTCTATGAATTTTTAAATGATCCACTCCACAACATTCTTTGGAAATCACAACGTTCCCTAATGATGAATATTGATTTTTTTTTTTTTTTACCTGTTCAAAAAACAAAAAAATACTAAATAGACTTAAGATAACGTAAAATAAATTGCAACAATCCAGAAGAGAGCAGGTAATTGTGTAAAGTATATGCATTAAATAGCATAATGGAGAAAGTCATCATACCACCCAAATTGACCTGGCAAATAAACACAAACAACAAAATATTGGTAGCAATACTCTAATAATGCACTCTAAACATGAATATAAACCTTACAGACATGGATCAAAACACGTTTTGTTATGTTCATCCAGGAGACATTTGTTTTATTTCAACAGGGGCGAGAGCAGGAAGATGGGGAGCCAGAGCATAAAAAAGCCTCATTGGAAGAGGAAACACCGGAGAAGAGACACAAGTGAGTTTGCCACTTCAATTTGTTTGTGTCTGTGACGGTCTTGATCTATTATTTGTTTCTTGGCCGCGCCGCACGGATGTGAAACCGATTTGAAGGAACGCCGCGACGATTATCTGCAACTCATCTCAACACTAATTATTGGTGACGCATCGAAACACTGTTTACTCTGGCTACTGTCACATCCTCGTGTTATGAGCTGCTCAAATATCCTGCAGCTTCGTGTCTTGCAGGACAGGAAAGATGGCCGCCCGTGCATACCAAATGACATTTTCCATTGTTTATACTTAATGACTGCGAGTTGATGACACCAAGGGAGTGCCTTTGTGTTTCCACCGGTGCAATTGAACACATTTCTCTTAAGCAAAAGCAATTATTGCCTGATAACGAATGACAGTAATCAGGGCAGAAAATAAAAAGAATCTCTCCAATTGTTTTATGCAATTCGAGACACCCATTTTTGACTGAGTGTGTATTGTAGCACGTGCTAAAAATTTCATGAGGCATCACTTTGACAAAGTACAGGTTGAAGAGCCACATGGTCAACACCTTTGTTGCACAATGATGAATTACAATACACTACAAATGCACATAACATTTGTTGATATGCCCAGCATGTATATGCGATGAAAGACAAATGCCAATGTGCTAACATATCCTACATTCACAATTTAACAAAGAGTTGAAATGGAGAGGTATAAAATATATTGACTGTGTACCATACAACATGACAAAGAGTAAGATTTCAAAAAGCAACGCATACCAGGTTAGAAATAAAGATTTTCGACCATTACAAAGTGCTTGATTTGACAAAGTTGCTTGCAGCTCAACAGCGTTTCAACATTATGATCGTTGGCTTCCGTTCAAGCCGCACTCTACAAACACGCAAGTATCAGTAGATGGAGATGGAAATGTGCAAACGCACAGATGGGCGAGCCTTCAGCAAGCAGACTATTGACGACAATAACTGTCACTGTTCTAAGAAGGGCAGTGTTTCTTTTTGTCTGGAATAAATATTTAGACCGTTAGAATTTGATGCAGATATGAATCCTGCCTTTTTGAAGTTAATTCTTAAAACATTTTACCGACCTTGTGACTGTGTTGTTTAATGGTCACTGTAAAGGTCAGACTTTGTACCAATATTTGTTCAAGTGCCACCTTGAAGCCTGTACACAATCCATTCCAAGATTCCTGGTCAGTTTCCATTTTGTTCATCGGTGAAATGAGCAGCCTGGACAGAGACGGACGGCCGCAAAAAGCTCAACTTGTGACTTGTGTGCCTATTTCTTTTCATTTTGGCAGAAAATCTATACCGAAGTTGCAATGTTTCTTCACGTTTTACAGATACATTATATTTCATGAACAAACTCCCTTTTCAACACAAATTGAATTGAATTATATTCTTTTTATTTGGTTCTCTGTATTTTCAAAGATGTTTGACTTTAACCTTTTCATGCACCCCCGTAACCTGATAACACGATAAACTGTCCACTGTGGTAACCGCAGTGGTGCCTTGAGATACGAATGACCTGACTTGGAATGTTTGGAGATACGGGTTGTCATAAAACTTTTTTTTTTCCCCCCCTTTGACTGGTAAACCATAATTTGAGATTCAAGTACCGTCCGTGGCAGTGAACTCAACTCACTTCGCACTAAGCAGCAGGCTTCAAGCTGTTTATTGCCTGACCAGTCATAGTTTACTGTCAAATTAAACATAAAATAAAGAGAATTATAAGATTTGTATTTAAAGCAATCACATTGTGCTGTCCACAGTCGGGTTAGCTTAATGTTAATAAACAATACAAAATTCCACAGTTTTTATTTATTTTATTAAGGGTGGGGGGGGGGCGGGGGTTCTGGAACAGATTCATGGTATTTCCAATCATTTCAATGGTGAACAGGAATGAGTGTGACAGCCCTACTTTAGATGCTGACTGAGCTAAAGGTTAAGTACAAAATTTGAAGCACGTTTTCCGTCTAAATTTGTGTATTTTCTCAATGTATTTGACCATATATCATGCATGTTGGTGAAATAGATGCTTTCACTCACATTGCCTCTTCATCAGAGACTTTAAGCTGCATGGAGTCAAGGAAGAGTGGCAGACATGACCAGCATCCTTGCCTATAGCCATACAAGGCACGCGTCTGTTGGCTGCAAAGTGGGGCAGAGTGGGGGTGGGGGGGTGGACGGTGATGAATGTGTCAGCTAGAGCCCTCGCTAGCTTGCTCACAAGTTCAGAGAACTCTCTTCTTGTTGCACACATGGCCAGACAGCGCTATACCTTCATAGCTCCCGGACCCTGTGTGGTCGTCGAGCTGAGTCTGCCAAGAATTCCTCTATGAAGAGGCACGATGAAAGTAATTACAATGTCAAGGTCGGCATTCCTCGGCCGGTTGTTGTCTGTGCCCAGGAGCAGGTGGGATGCGTTAACTAGATGGGTTCACAGGGAGGGGGGAAAAGAGGTGACTTTATCCCCAAGGGGCTCGAGTCAATCAACAGGCGGCCATACAGGGATGCAGATGGTCTCCCTCTTTTTTTTTTTTTTTTTTTAAAGTTCTTTTCATCTAAAGCGCACACACTACCCCCTACTGGAAGCTCGGTGGCTACACTGTGTGTCGAAGTCCAGCTTTGGCAAGCTCTATTGACTCCAGACATTTTTTGTTTTTTTACTATAGACAAATCTCACGGCACATCGCCCTTGAAGTCTGTATTCGGAAATCATTTTGATCTCATCTGCATTTGCGCTCAAATTTACTTAAAGCTGCTCGCTGGAATTGATTTCTCAATGTTGTCATCAGTTATTGGGTGCATGATTGTCTCACATTTTGGCTTCTGCTCAGGGAGCTGAAACTGAGAAATTACACTCCAGAGGATGACGAGCTAAAGGAGAGGCAGGTCCCCAAAGCCAAACCAGCAGCAGGTTGGTTGTAGAATCTTCATTATTCGAAATGAAAGGATATTCAGACTGTGTAAATGGACCAACATATTGGGGATATAAATGGCGATTCAGTGTTACAAAAGTTTTGTCCATTTATCCAGCTTAGGATAAATAGGACAAAAAGAAAGGATACGTTATTCTTATACTGTGTCCACATGGTAATTATAAATATAATAATAATCATCTTGGATTTAAGAGATATTTTTGTTTGTTTATTTGCAGTGGAGGATAAAGTTGAAGACCAGTTAAAGGCAGCCAATCCAGAGCCTATCATTGAAGAAGTGGTGCGTTTTCATTTCTGATTCTGAAGCACACAATGGTTTTTTTTTTAATACAATGTTAAATTTGATTTTCCCAGGATTTGGCTAACCTAGCCCCAAGGAAACCAGACTGGTAAGAAGACCATGGTTGTTACTTTCACTTTGGTGTGAATTAATGGTTCTCTCTGACTGACAGTGTGGTTTTGGATCTAGGGATCTCAAGCGGGATGTGGCAAAGAAACTGGAGAAGCTGTCGAGGAGAACACAAAGGGCCATTGCTGAACTCATTCGTTAGTACTTTTTTTTGCCCCTCATTTTTCTTCAATGTCTTCTGAAATATTAATATTGATCTGGTTCTGGCGTCCAGGCGATCGTTTGCGAGGCAGCGAGGAGGAGCTGGCCGGTGTGGTGGGAGCGGTACAAGCAGAACAGGAAGACTCAGACTGATTTGGAGATATGAGAAGAAAAGCCACACTGGAAATGTGAACAGCAGGGCAGGCATCCAATTCTGGGAATAGTTTATCACAGGTATGTGCTGGAAACTTTGTCCAGTCTTGCCTTGTGCTTTTTTTTTTGTTTTGTTTTGTTTTTGTATCATGCGAATCCAATGGTACAATCTGTATATGTGGTTGAATTATAAACAACCAGGCTAAACCTTTCATATTTTCTGTTGTATGGTTGTTTTAAATCGAAGTAAAGTACAATTTATGTTTTTGAAATCCCTGTGTTTTATTGGGTCATCCAGCGTCCACGCACTTTTGAAATACTGTAGTGTACATCATGTTTATTAGGAAAACTATCACTCTAATGAATAAGTGACCACGATGGCGCATTACACTGATGCTTTGCTACAAGTGAATCAAATTTGAGTTTTGATTCAAAGGGTGAATACACTGGAACAATGATGAAAACACACTTGAACCTTCTTTTTTTGGTATGACATTCACTAGTGATATCTATTGGCAGCACCTCAGTAGCCTGGTCTGAAATAACAGCGTCCTATTCTTTACCCATAAAGTGCATTTACTGTCCACATAGGCCCATACTCTCTCCTCAGGCGCATATTGCACTACTCACTACAATACAAGGCCACCTGCACCTACTTGACTGCTGTTGCCCTTGTTAAAAGGCAAAAAAAGAAATACATTAAAATAAAGAAGGCTCTAAAGAGAAGCAAAGCGTTACTCCCATCAGACAGCACATAAACTATCGTACTGTCAATATGTGAATTAAGTGCCGTTACGTCACGCGTCTGACGACTACATTGGAAAAATATCCATCAAAACATCACAAGATGGCGTGTTGTGTTTGTGGGAGTTGTAAACCAAACGCTACTGATGCTCTAAATGCTGATGATTGGTGAGAAGATCCTGAATTTTGTATTTCTCCTAAAGGAAAGGGAAACGAGTGGCTCAAGGAAGCATAGAATCGGACGTGGTGGAGGCAGAAGTTGCTTTGGCACGCGGCGTGAAAGTACGTAGTCGGTGACGGCGAAGGGTGCTCACTTGTTTGCCTGTGTCAATAATGTCTGACCTGGACAGATTTAGTTAGCCCTTGAGCAGGATAGCTGTTTGGTTGCTATTGTAAGGTAACAAACAATGAGTTGAAACTGTGTTTTGTGTGGCTACGGGAAGTCGCTGGTTCAGTCACACTGGCCGCTGCCAGATTCGATCTTCCTGGCTGCAGGGCCCAGCTCCACTTTGCACACCCTCTGGGCAAACTTCAGAGAGCAGAGTGTCTCACCTACGTTGCGCTCCAGAGAAGACACCTTTGGAAAAGAAGCCAAAATCAGCAACATCACTCTTTTAAAAATAATAGCCTAAGTTGACAAATCTTTAGTGCGTGGTATGTCACAGCGAGGCCAATTTGTATGAACTTAACATGTGCAAGTTCTCAAGCGAGTGTGTGACGGAGAATTTATAAGAATAAAAACGGTTACAACTCCATCCATGCACATGGCACACTCCCTTGTTTTTTTTTCAGTGCAACATTGTTTTTTTTTTTTTTTTTAATGAACTTGATACAAATTTTTACAATTAAGTCGATAACTGTACAAAACATTTCAATTGTGTTCAACATTGAATATTTCCCAAATTCACCAGCAGATTTACCAGAAATGTTCCACTCCTTGGTAACTCTCGTTATAAGCCGTGAATCAATGACATTGGAAAGAAACATCTGTGACCTTTGTTGGCCTCGCATGTACCACTATAATGTGAACATATTCCAAGAATCCATTCATCCGTTTTCTATGGCGCTTGTGCGTATTTGTCACAAGTAGGGCTGAATCATTTTGAAAAATAATTGCGATTTAATATGTAAAATATTATTTTCAAGATGTTCTTCCCGTGTATTTTTTTAATCAATAAATTATACATTAAAAAATAAAGCCGATCGAGTGAAATGAAGCAGAGGTTTGGTTTGTTTTTTCCAAATTTGAGCCTTTGCAATTATAAAATTGCATACTATTCCATTGACTGAGAGGCAGGGTACACACTTCACTGTTCATTCATACTGACATTCCACTGTATGTACAATTTAAAGTTGTTAATGGACCCAACATGCTTGTTTTGGGAATGTGGGAGAAAACCGGAGAGGACCAATGTGAAATCCACACTGAGATGTGACATTTGAAGCAGGGACCTTTTGACTGTAGGGCAAATGCGCTAACTACAATGCCCGTCCTGGTACCTCACACAAATACCTTTTTGGAAAATTCCAAATCAGTTGTAGTCCTACCTGCACCACCATGGCCGTCTTGCTGCCTTTACCCAGCGAGTCCTGCAACAAGTACGTAAGGCGAGAGTTCCTGAAAGGGATGTGCGTCTGTCGTGCTCTCAGGGCCTGAATGACGTCCCCGAGGGCCAACAGAGAGCGGTTTATATTCTGGGCCTCCTTCAGCCTCTCGCCCTCTGCACCAGACTTCCAAACCCTTTCCGATCCTGCCAGGTCAACCAGGTTCAACTTACCTGGGGGCAAGCAAAAGAAAATGTCAGCGGTGCTGAAATTACCTTCGAAATGTCATCTGTCCCTATTAGGGGAAAAAGTCGAATCATATTAATTATACAGCAGGTCTTTTCACATAGATGTTGAAATATTGATGCCTGTGCGACTGACCGGTAGTTTTGGAGCCGGTGGCGAGGTCTGTGCCCTGAACGGTGATGCAGAGCAGAGCATGAGAGCGAGAGCTGTGCTCGTTCATTTGAGTGCCGAACGTGATCCTGTTCCTGCGGGCCATGGCTAAAATCTGAAGACAGACAATATTGTGAAAGTCTAAAAACTTAAGTAAGTTGAGGGCCATACAAAAAAAAAGAGCTCGACATAAAACCATCTGTCACCTTCTTGATATGCTGAAAGCTCTTAACCTCGATGACCCTGAGGCCCGGCACGTGCAGCTGTCCTGTTCCATCGGGGTTCATTTTGATGTCCAGTTTCTCTCCATCCTTACTCAATAGATCTCTGAGAGTCAAAATATGTCATCAACTGGCATTCATAATGCCATCAGCGTTCTTCGCCCGGGATCGAGCTGTACCTTAGCACCTCGTTGTAGATCTCCACAGAGCTGACAGTGACGGTATAAGACCACATGTCCTTCCGCTCCTCTATTTCACTAAAGAGATGCTTGAGGGCCCTCTGGTTGATGCCGGGATTCTCCACACTGCCCTAAATAGCAAAATAAAGATAACTTGCATTGGTTTAATTAATGATACATTCGTATTGGTTCTGTAGAAAGAAAGAAAAAAAACATGCAACTTCATGACCTCCATTGTGTATGTTTTCCCAGAACCAGTCTGTCCATATGCAAATATGCAAACATGGTAGCCATCGATGCACGAGATCACAAGAGGCTCAATTTCTTGAAAGACCTGAAAGATGGCAAAATGCAAGTTAAATTACAGCTTTGCAGATAATTCCTTTCCCTTGTCTTTGTTGTTGATTTGTGCTACCTCTTCTTGCCCAGCGTGAGGATGGAAGACCTTGTCCAGCTCAAAGGTGCGACCTTTCCCTTTATTCAGCACGTTCAGAGAGGACTCGTTGTCGGGGTCTGTGGTAACCACCACCGATTGGCCGTCCTCGTGCTGGTCTTCTTTCAGCACAGGCTTTACGCGACACAGCACGCGGATGTTGCCTGGGCGACGGGACGTATTGAGAAGTTGTTAATAACTGCTGATAGATGACAATATTTGTCCCAAGGTTTCAGGGAAATGATTTTGCTTTGCCTGAGTGCATACCTTTTAGTTCCACAAGCTGCTCATGCAACTTCCTGCGCAGTGCAACCTCCTTTCTGTATTTCTCCAGAAGGTCTTTGTTGGCCTCTGACATCTCAGAGATTGCTGCTGAAACCTGCCGAATGAAAATGATGATGACATTATTTTTGTGTGTCTAGGACACATCGTGATATCAAGTGGCGGTGTGTTGTGTATTTGGTACCTGGATCTTCTGTGACGATATACACAAATTAATTTTAGAAACCATCAATATTACAAAAAAAAAAAAAAAAACAATACAATACAACAGCAGGCAACTTGAACATGATTTGGTGCGATTCTGAATCAATCTTTACATTTTAAATACATCACACTCACCAGAAATCCTAATTATTACGTGTATTAATATGTGCCAATCACTAGATGTGCTTTACTAGATCACCTTGAGTGGAGCAAGTTTTGCTCAGTCCAATCAATCAGTGAACGTAGAAATGAGGACATTATTGTGTTTCAAGAAACTTAATATAGTTGAAGTTCTGAAGGCCCTTGGCAGATTACATTGACAGAGCAACACATAAGGCTGAAATCTAATTGGACAAAAACAATTGGAACATACACTTAATAGAAGCCTCGCAGCCAAAAGAAAGGGATATGAAATAAAGAGAGTAGGCAGTTGTGACTAATTGATACATTTTCAAAGAATACATCTGAATTAAATGGAATTTTAATTTCAATAATTCAGGTCGGAACTATATTAAGTCATGCGATGCTGATTACCTGTTTCTTTGCCTCCTTTATCGCCGCACCGTAAAACTCTGAGAAGTTACGAACTTGGCTCCGCAGGCTGGCGTAGTCTGTTTTCATGCAGCGCAGAGTCGGGGGGAGAGCAGTCAGACGCTTCTGTAAACCTGTCGGGGGGAAAATTATGTTTAAATTAGGCATAATAGACTGACATGAAACGTTCACTTTGTGCATGTGATATGACTGACCAAAGAACTGGTGCTGCAGGTCCTGGAAGTGTTCTGCTGAGCAGTTTGCAGCTGCCCTCACTGCCTCCTCCTTCCTCTCCTCCAAGTGGCCGATCTCCTTCAACAGCTCCTCTCTCAGCTGTCCAATTTCCCGCTCATACGATGCAATCTATGAAAAGGGGAAAACATATATTCACCAGTCAGGTTGAAGGTGGAGTTTGCAATATCCCCCCACAAAAAAACCCAAACACTTTTTGTCTTATTTGATAAAACTGTCATTATGACCTGACAGCAACATATGCAATTGTCCTTAGCAACTGTGATGTCGTTTTCAGTCGACAACAAGTGGCAAAATGGCTGCTGCCTAAAATAGATGGATTTTGCTGCTTAATTAATACTCCACAAGTGCAATATTAATCGTAATAGCATGTTTAGACTAGTAGGGCTGCAGAAAGCGTATTGTTGTTAAAGTTTTTGTCTTGACTTCCCCTTCATGGGAAAAAATCTGATGATGATGATGATGTATATTGGTGTTTATTTCCT